ATGATTTTTAATTTATTTGGCGCATCCTTAAATTTGCTATTAGAAGTTGTCTGCAATGTAAGTGAGGAGAATGCTTTGAACAGTAGAAAACCTTAAGGGTTACAACAATATCACCATCTTATCTTGCATGTTTTCAACAAAATCAGACAGTTAGAAAGGTTCCATATTAGTTTGTTTATTAGATATATCACACAGTGAAACAGTATTATTTACTGGATGACACAGTTGCGAACAAAATTTATTGTTCATATCAATTCTGATCACACGACTTTGAAATTTGAGTTTTATAACTTTCTTTGTTTTCTCGTATTTGTCGTAGGGGCAGACGAATTTTCCAGATATCCAGACGGATTGGCGATGAATCATTTCTATTACATGTATTTGCAGTTGGTTCGATAAACAGAGCTCCTGTTATCAATCTTTCCCTACACCCTGTTACATTAGGTTTTAAAACTGTCACCCTATTCCATCCTATTGCATGGTAGTGTGTTAGTGCATGTAGTGCTATAGCTGAACTTTTCTCCAGATTTCTTATCTTATTTGGGTCAACCAATCTAGATTTTGCTAAGTTTTTATGTTCAGCTAGTCTGACTGACCCTGTCCTACTAGTTTGACCCATGTATTTGACCTGACAGTCATTGCAGGCAGGGTATTAGATAAACTTAATTGTTTTGTTTTAAAAGCTCCACAGAATTGATCCTTTCAACTGACAAAGCTTGTTTCTAATTGAGTTTGTGGAGAGGGGTTGAATTCCAGCCACTTTTATTCCTGCCTTGTTAAAAATTCTGCGTAAGGCTTCCGAGGTTCCTTCTTTGTATGGAATTACTGTTGATGATTTAGATTCCTTATTGCTGGTGTCGTCATTAATGTTATTATTATGATCACTATTATTATTATCATTATCATCATCATTACTGAAGAAAATTTCTTCAAGAAATATGCAAGGAAATCTAAAAATCTAAACCTTTTCAGAGTCAACCATTCTTACCTTAGCTAAATTCTTATGTTCCGGCAATCTGACTACTCCTGACCTACTAGTTTGACCTATGTAGTTGACTTTATTCACAGTCATTGCAGGGTATTTTGTAAATTATATTATTTTGTCTAACTGGGTCAATTGAGTCCTTAAACCTACACAGCTTGACGCTGAGTGAGTTTGTAGGTTTAAATGCCATCTTAATTCTTGCCTTCTTTAGAATCTTACGTAGGGTTTCAGATATCCCCTCTTTATATGGTTTAACTACAGATGACTTATATTCTCTCTTATTTAGGTTATTATTAATAGTTTCACTATTATTTTTATTTTTCGTTTGGCCTTTTTCTATCTTCCTAATGAATTTTATAGGATAGTTATTTAACACCAAAGCCTCTTCTATCTTTTTTAGTTCATCACTGAGGTCTTTTCTTTTGCTACTTAGTGCTACTGCTCATATTGTTAAACACTTAACTAAATATGATAGAGAAGATTTGTAGCTCAGGTGGATGTTTTTGGTGTGGTTGTGTTCTCTGAGGTGGATGGTTAATTTGCGAAGCTTTCATCACCTTACGGGCTGACATGTTCAGCGCATACTGAAGATGTCACTCAGTAAGGTGATTAAAGCTTCTCAAATTAACCATCTAGCTCAGAGAACACAACCACATCAAAACGCTTAACTAAGCCTCCTGCCTTAACAGTTAACGGATGAGATGAATTAAAGTCTAAATATCTATTCGAATGAGTTGGTTTCCTGTACACACTAGTGTGCAGTTCACCTTCTTCTATTCGTTTTATTTTACAATCTAATCTCATCCGTTAACTGTTAAGGCAGGCTTAATTAAGTGTTTAATAAACCGAACAGTAGCACTAAATAGCACAAGAAAGTCAACTACATAGGTCTAACTAGTAGGTCAGGGGTAGTCAGATTGCCGGAACATAAGAATTGAGCTAAAGTAAGAATGGTTGACCCTGAAAAGATTAGTATTTTAGAAAAAAGCTCGCCAACTGCAATGCATGCATTAACACACAACCACACAATAGGGTGGGAGAGGGTTAAAATTCTAATAAGTAATCTGGATAGGTGTAGAGAGAGAGGTTGATTACTGAATCCTTGTTCATCGAGTCTACACCCAACACATGCAATAGGAATGATTCATCACTCATACCTGAAATATAGAAAATACTACTGTCAATCAAATCAAGTGAAAAATAATGGAACTATATAAATGAAGTTAGGAAGTCATGTGGGTACCTTGATATGATTATAACCAATAAATTGTGCTCGAAACGTCATTAGTAAACATTGCTGTCTAACAAAACTGGGAGACTTGATCAAAACAAATATTTAACCATAATGGATCTACTCTACTTCTGTTGAATTTCTTTATTTTAATTTGATTGATACGGTGACTGGAGGGTTCTAATAGGTGGATGGGGGTTAATCTCCTCCAAACAACGCCTTGTGAAATTATATATATATATATATATATATATATACGTTTGGACGTCTTCATGAAAGTGGATTATTGAGAGACATCTGAAGGGAAGCCTTGAGAAGAAATGAAATTACTATATTCTGGAATTCCATAAAGTTTAGGATAAAGCGGATGTGTTTGTATCACCTCAGTTTAAAACAAATTTGAAATGTGTTTCTGCGGTTCTGGACATTTGCTTGGACAAGTGAATGTGTAGACATGAGTCAGTGACATGCAAAAAATAAGGTTCTACAGTGTGCTTTCGACAGATGACTTCGAAAGGTTTCACTCATCAAATTTTGAGATGCAAAATAAACCGTTACCACGGCACACCTTGTATTGCGGCGCATTAGTGTTCGCCCTCAAGTGTTTATCAATGAAGGCAGGTGAATACTCATTTTGACTGAACTGTTTTTGTAGCGCATTCTATACCTAATCCAATATATCTTCAATGCATACGCGACAGGTTGTAGTCTCAAGACAGGTGGTGAAATTTATTTTCTACACATTGAGGCAGAAGAGTGAGCTTGTCAGCTTTATGTTGCATTTTGGCTTGCAGTAAAATAATCTTCGTAGAGCTCCATCCTTTGGAATTAAAAAAACTGAACATCTATGAAGGAAAATTTACGCAACGACTGCAGCTCAGTTTTACAGTCAACTGATCGGTGCTTAGAGATTTTCAAGATTTGACTGAGCACAATATTTGTATCTATATCACAAAAGTAACGCGTTTAAACCTGCAAATTTATTGATGATTTTTCACGGACTATTCAGTCCTAGAGAAGCCAAGAGGCGTTTGGCGACTGAAGAGTCGTCCATCTCTGGACCAACATTTTTCCATATGTTTGACGGTTGAAGACAAACTGCATATTTGATGTGAACCTCAGTATCAATTATTCGATTTATTTCACAGCTCTGCCCACAGACAGTCAAATTAGTTGTGGCTTTAAACCATCATCGGTAGTACAGCTGAAAAAACAAACTTTTCAGTACCTCAGCTTGAAGTCAGCTTATTCCATAAATCATTGTGCAAAGAAAGCGTAATATGATTCCTGTGAGCAAAATGTAACTTTATTATGGAACTTCAAGCGTTAATTCATCAAATTCATCAATTCCAGTTGTAATAAGCAGACGCAATTATTGCAAAATAAAAGGAAGTCCTATTTCGTTCCTTAGGGTGTTCTGACTGGAGATTGGAAAGCATCCTTGTCAACGCTTTGCATGTTTGTGTTGCTTTATTTGTGGTCAGCTTTGTTAAAGCATGAAATATCGGCTTTTCTTAAATAGGCAATTCTTCTGAAATAAAGTGACCATTTTGTTAGATATTTAAAACAGAGCACATGCATAAAGGAGCACTCTGAATATGTTCACGGGGAACGCAAACATTTTTCGCATACGTGATCACGCTTTGGATGCGTAACACTTTGGAAAGTAAGAAAGGGAAGACAAACCTCAAGTAAATTCTATAAAAACAGAAGTTTTCTCTATCATGCCAGCTGTTTCAGAATGGAAGCTACTTAATTTTGATTGTGTGAGAACAGTCACTTAGAGTTTAACTCATGTATTAATTAGTAAACCTTCTGTGGTAGGTTGATTAAAGAAGCGTGCATTTCGATTTCACACAGCCAAGCTTCCCTCGATATTCCCGACAAGCTCCACTTTATTTTCGCATTATCTCCACTTCACATCTAGACGCCAACATAGTCACATTCTTTTTGATTAACACTTGAAAGCATAGTGAGAATCGGCACTGAAGGGTTTCACCAGCTTATGAACAATCCACCTCCATAAATATATAGGTTGTTACGTAGTTCAGTGGTGTCGTTTATCCCTTTTGCCATGTCATGTGATCTTTAGCACCGCTAGATGGTAACTAGTGGTGGAAGTTTGCTTCAATGCATTCACAAAGCTCTAGGTGATCCACCCACGAATTTTGTGAAGCATATAAAAGTAAGGACTTGACATTAGTGTTTATAATTCGAATGTGCTATGTCTTGTGCACCTCTTTACTTATTTCTGTGAAAGGAAACCTGGAACTGCTCGCATCTTTCTATCCTCGCTGATTCCCAAAAGGCTAGTGTTCAAATCGTGTAACACATACTTTAATAAAGATAAGATTTCGTTCTTTTCCTATGAATAAACTTTCCTGGAATCACCCGGGGATAATTTGATCTCTTCGCCACTCACGACATTATAAATGCGATGGATAGGATATTTCAGTGGCTTTCTGATTGACTGAGTGAACTATATTTATTTGAAAATGTAACGTGGTTATGATGATGAATCTGGAGAGACATATTAAAAACGTTTTGTCAAAGCAACTGTTGTTGATATCACGAGATATTTTAACATGTTTTCTTTATTCAGTAATACAGAAACTTCTAATCGAATAAGCACGATTGAAATGTTGACATAAGACAATCCAATGCTTAGCCATTAACAGTGTTAAGTACACAGTTTATCAGTGCAACCCTGATCGAGATATAGACACACAATCAATTGCAAACTCATATAATACAACACACATTACAATGAGAATTAAATCAGTATCTTTTCATCCATACACTCGAAGATATGCCTTTCGAAATGATGGGATTCAGTGTTTCACAACTTGGATTCGTTATCGTATTTATAACAGTTGTATTAAGTGAAGTCAATGGTACGTTTCAAGGACTATTTATAACAGCAATATCAGTGTCACATATGGTTATAGTATGTTAAAATATTCTGCCTTTCATCACACTACGCTACATATCACTGACTGATGACATGGGCACAATCAACCTAAAATGCGGTGCTTTGAGTAAATCTGAGTGAGTGTGAACCCATGTGAAGACGGCTGAATATTCTACAGGCTGAAAGCCCTGGTATCACAGACAGAATTTCCTCTGTAACCGTTATTTCCACATATTGATTATACTCAACACCATATAAGTAGCTTATGTAGGGATCAACTACAACAGACATTTAATCTCATACACGACTTCCTCCTACCTGATTTATCTGCGTCAATTTATTCACGCTTTCCTGGATTCTCTCCATAATTTCTCAGGCCAGCAGCCAGCAGGTAAGTGAAAGATTTTTAAGAACTGATTTATCAAGTACACGAACACCTGCTTGTTGGTGATGAAGTTACAGTGATACTTACACTGAAAGACCCAAGTCGGATACAGAAAACTTTTTTTAAATGATTTAATTTTTACGAATATTACCACGGATTGATATCGGTTAGAGAACCATTGAAAACCACCAGAAGATACTGCATAGTTGTTTCGTTCTAGTTTGGGAATTATCGTTATCACGTCTCCACTGATAGGATTCGAACCCAGGATCTTCCAGTTGCTTGGCAAGCTCGTATACTATTCAGCCACCGGGATCTGATTAAATGGTCCACGAATTCTAACTTGTGCCAGTTTGTGATGTAGCGCGAACACCAACCGGTGTCATCGGTGGGATATCCATTCTTAAACTTCAATCAATGGACCTCACTACTCATGACTTCTCACTGGAACTCCTGGAAAATCCGTCATTCCTGTACCAAGTCACTAGGGAGCATCAGATTAATTTTCAAGAGTTGTTTTGTAATAATTATATTTGTTTTTACGCTCTGGTAACGAAAACAGAATTTTTTGAATTAAGTAGGTATTATTGGAAATATTGTTCGAAATGTCAGACTTATGCGTGACAAGAGATGCGTGTTCGTTGGCATTTGCTTTTTACTTTGCTGAATCTCAAGGCAGTTGTTTCATGTCACATTGGATAAAATTTGCAGCGGTGCAGTACTACTGGTAATATTACTTATTCGTGTCTTTACATACAATTAGAAATTAGAATCTTACAGTTTGGTAGTTGACAGATTGGTTAGTCACTGAATGTCTTATGAAATCGAGGCAATATACGGAAAGATAATGCTAGAAAACCGATGCTGCATATTTGCGGGAAATTTAGTTTAGATACAGAAATGAGTGACGGTGCCCAAAAGCAAGTTAGGAATTCATGTGAATACATTATTTACTATTTTGAGAAATGACAAGTCATCCAGCTGTCGATGATTTATCAATGTTTTTTGAAATACGGAATTTCATTTTAATAAAATACATCGATAATTTAACATAAATTTGATTATATTTGTGGCATCATTCCATAAAAGATCCCAGTTTAGTTTTCGAAGTGATATAATATGCCATGAATAATGTTAATGACATCGTTTCATTTTATGCTGTGATCGCAAGCTTAAAATCCATCCATTCTGTAACCTCCTTATTCTGTGTAAAGTCATTTTCAATTTGAGGTAAGTACAGTGAGATATACTTTCAATGTTCTTCCAGTAAAATATTACTTATTTTCAAAAAACATGTTCTGTTAGTCCAAAGTAAAATACTGAATGTTACACAGAAACGTTCACAGAACGTAAAAATTCTATTGTTTGCTTGCTAGAGGAAACCTAATGTAGATCTTTTATTCATTGGATTCTTTCAGATATGATAGAGAAGATTTTAAGCTCAGATGGATGATTTTGATGTGGTTGTGTTCTATGAGCTGGATGGTTGATTTGCAAAGCTTTCATCACCCTACTGGGTGACATCTTCAGCGCATACTTTAATTTGAATTGAAGTGAGCTTTTAGATTTCTCCACGAGTTTATTAATCATCTCTCCTGGTCGGTGACCAACTTGGACGTGATTGGTTGTTCTGTGAGTTCTCACACCTTCTAGAAGGATTCTTGTATTGAAACTGATTGTTTCTTTGACTTGAACTTTGACCCTTTTTGTGTGAGGTTTCTTTCTTATCGGTTGATATATTTTGTCTATCTCTATGTGTTTATTGTGTGACGATTTACTGGAATGCCAGGCTTCTAAAAATTCTCCAGAATCTTCTAAAAATGACCAGAAGCAGCTTGACTATTCAGTGGTCTATATCTTGATTATTCTTAGATTCTAATGTAGTGGATTAAAATATTTGACCATCAGTTGGCGTGGATAATGAAAATTAATGAGAAATTGACAATACTGTGTAACAACAGAAGACAAGGGCCCGCAACAAATCGTTTTATAACGGAAATCAACACGTATTTATATACATATTTCATGTACATTATTCTAGCTTATTCAAGCAGATAAACTCAGTCTTCTGATTAGTTGTTTCTGGTTTCTCGGAAAGTTAGGCCATATATTTGCGAATCTTATTTACCCACTTTAAGTCTGCTGTGATTTCAGGATTTCATCATGAGCTGACATCAGTTAGAGAACCACTGGAAAACCTGGGAGTACTGGACAGCTGTTTCGTCCTAGTTTGGGACTCTTCAGCAGTACGCACCCACCGGGATTCGAATCCAGGACCTTCCGGTTACAAGGCGAGCTCGTATACCATTAAGCCACTGGGACCCGATCCAATGGTCCTTGAATTCTAACTTCTGCCAATTCACGACATAGCGCGACCGCTAGCTGTGATTGGTTGTTGCATCAACCTTGTTCATATTTCCTCACGGCCAATATAAATGACCTGGACACCGACGTAAATTAATGTCTACCATTTGACTAGCAGCCTGCTCTCACCACAACTATGAGGACATGAATTTTTTCATTTAATTTAATTTAATTTTAATTTATTTTAATTTTCAATTATCTGAACCGAAAACCTCTACTAGTCGTGTTCATAGTATGTTCGTGAAATGTTTGCAGCAACTGCATGATAAATTTGTACATTCAATAGAAAAATTGCGACCACCACCATCATCGGTTTCCATCTTGTCAGAGATGTGTGTGTGTAGAAGGCGCAACCAGTTTAGCCTCACTCACTGGCTTTCCTCACGTTTAGGACATTTATGAATGTAATCATAATCATTATGTGACACCCTAAATTTTACAAATCTATCCATCCTAACTGTGACCAAGTTTTGTGAAGTCAGCGATGTAGAGCGTTTTTTTTATTTCATAGTGTAAAATTTTCAGTTTTCCTTATTTTGTATAATCAGATTACAGTTGGAGCACTGTTCATGTTATTATACACTTTGCACATCATATTTGATAAATATTATTTGAGAAAAGCCGAAACAACTGCAGGTATTTGAACTTTATTTAACCGGTGGTATGCTCTTGATCTAGACTTAAGATTGGTCAGCGTTCCATAAATTACTGAAAATTTGCCAACATAATCAATCATATATTAAAGATGCTTAGAAAACGAGAAACACAACGGTCACCATCATACTATCATTGCGCTTCAGCAACGAAACGAGTAGATGAGGTTGCGGTAATGTCAGCTTTAAATACAACTCAGAGGAGAGTTTTCCACACAAATTTCCTTCGAAATTCCTACCACAGACCTATTCAAGTTTGCATAATGTGTATGATTTTGTCTCCAGATAGTAAACGGTGTTGCTGTTTACATTAGAATTTTTCTAGTGGAAACCATCGATAACGTGTTCAGCTTAATTTGTCAATCAAACAACAGACTGAATTTGCATCGGTAATGTCAAATTGGCTTCTTATAAAATCCAGTGTGATACTAGAGTGAATCACTATTAGATTTGGTAAATATTCAGCTGAATCGATCGATGATCATGACTGACATGTGACTGAGATATTGCAGTCACTTCACGCACAACTGGACGGCCTGCAGTGAATAGACAACTGTCTTTTTGAAATCGTTATCGGTCAGCTAGCCCTTTTTGTACATAAGTATACGATTTCTAAATATGAATCTATCAACCTCTAGAGATTACCTTCTGGATATCTGGTGAGTTCATTCAAGTATTCATACGTCACAAAGCATTTTGATATTCGTTTTCGATGAGTAACCCCGGATGACTAAATACTGTGACAAAGATATCTGAAATGAAATCAATCACTATAAAACTCTTATTTCTTCAAATCAAACTGCAAGAAATTCAAAAAGTAATTCAAAGAAATTTCAAGTGGTAACATTTTGAAAGAGTGCTTAAATCCTTCTAATCTACACCATTCTACTTTACCTCCACAATCCTACGAGTTTTCACTTGGAAAGTGATTCGTTCACTTATCGAATGATTCTAACTACAAGAATGTCTGATTTCATGAGAAAAATTCGAATAATCTGATCCGGTTACTTACAAGTTGAACATCAGTAGTTATAACAGGTGGATGCTTAGTCTGCTAAATTTATTAGCTATCCGAAAGCATCATAATATTATGACCATATTTATTGGGAATTTCCCGTAGCTTTAAGTGTTTCACAGATGTTGAATGCAAACCTCTTAATAGAATAAAACGTAAGAATCCCTAATTCAGCTGCCAATCTGATATATATCCATATAATATGTGTGTTTGTTTGACAGTCTGTATATTTGCTATGTATATGTGGATCGATATTCCATTATAATTAGCCAATCATGTTAAGACTGCTCATTGATTTGTCCATTTTGAATATTCGCTCACACACTTTCGGACATATTTAAATAATTTGCTCTCACACTCTTGTGTGACATTATTGATTCTCCTGGTGTTTTGGAAAATAGAAGTATCATCGCAAACCTAGTGGTCTTCTGATTTCCGTCTTTCTTGCGTCAGGACTATTGAATTCTCGACCAGTACAAGACACAATCTGAGATAAATAGTAAATGCGTTTGTACCATCTAAGTGATGAAACTTCCTGATACTTGAAACGAATGGTTACGTCATGATATGTGGAAATCAAATTCGTATGATTTCCTTTGATATCCGAAAATCCACAATTTATAAGGTTGACCTAATCAACATGCTTAACTCTCAATAATTCAGATAAAATGTATCTGAGCATCAAATAAATCCACATTTGAATACACAAATATTTGAGAGACACTTTCAGTTGTCTAAAGTTAACTTTGACAGATATGGTTCACGTTTATCATTTCACTGCTAGCATTCATTAATCAAGTGAGTTGAATTAAAAAATCAAGCCTCGAAGCCTTCGAAGTGAGGTTAGTCGGTGGGCTTCAGATTTATCAGCGTAAAGTCACAGGTGTGAACGAGATAACAGTCGGAATCAAAAAGAATGACGAATATTCCAAAATGTCTTTTAATTATTTATTTATTGAATATTTACAAACAAATGATGAAGGAATTTGAATTGATTGGATTGTTTCATGTGTGTAACTTTGTTTTTAGGAGAGCTTTCTGTTACCGAATGGTGCAAACATGGGGCTGCCTCTTAGATTTTTTGTCGCCCGATATTGGAGGAAAAGGTTCTCCATGTTTCAATTCAGCTTCAGGTGAAGCAAGATAATTTTGTTGAAAAACAACATCGAATAATCTAATTGTGTACATGGAGTAATCATTGCAAAAATAAAAATTCATGTGAAGATGGTGAGTATTCTGGAACAATATTCACAGATGTAAGCTGTTGGAAGAAGCCAGCTACTTTCTTACTGATTTCAAACGGTTCATGACTTATTGATTATCGGAGATTAAAGTAGTTCCTAATCACTCAGTCACAAATTTCGTTCATACACTAAAACTGATACAATATAAAGTGATGTGATTCAATGACGGCTCCAAAACTGAACGTAACCTTTAGGATTCGGAAATCTCTAGCGAAGCCAATAGGGATTCTTAAATATAAAAACATAACCTTTACACTTTTTTCTACTAACAGTGATAACTTGACTCTAGGATCTGGCAATATTATCGTGGAAAAACTGAATGTATGGAGGATTTTTTTGGCCTCCAAATACACTGAGGAGTTAAAGATGCTCAAACTGAAACAGACTGAAAGTCCTCGAAGTCATTACTGACTGTGGTTGATGACATTAGCCGAATACGTAGAAAAGCTTTCGGTGACAGCTATCAACGAACAACTATTTTGTTGTATGAAGAAAACGAATAATAATAGAAAAACTATAAGCGAAACAATCTTTTAGAAAGTTTCGCTTCACAGCACTCCCCAAGAGATACAACTGGATCAAAAAACCTGACCTCGAGTAAAGCTCAATTCATCAGCATTCATCCCCAACCTGCATAAGATGTAGGCATAGCAAGTCAATATGTAACTGAGGTTACAAATACTGTCTCCAATGTAAAACGAACGTAAGCAGTTGAAGTTGATCTAATGAATTAAGCACTGGTGAAATATGCTGGTGATTCATTTTCCTCTGAGTTAATTTAAGTATGTTTTAATGTTCGAGAAACAGAGATAGTTCCGTTTGACACGTGCAAATCATCTTAGGAAGTCTATTTGTCGTTTACTAATCGTACAGACATAAGATTGTATAATATAATATCTGAGATACTTGATTCAGTATTAAGGCATGGATTAAGCTGTGCTTGTGAAGAGCAAACCCAAGAAAAACAGTCAGGCTTTCGGTGAAGACGAGGCTGTATTGATCATGTCTCCAAACTTCAATAGATTTTGTGATATGGGTATACTAACCATAGTGCCGTATTTCCTTGCCTTGAGTCTGCTATTTGGCTCAGTAAGCCGAGAGGTTTAGCAGCAATTTTTGGCCGTGAATGGAGTGTCAAGAATGTAATTTGCACATATAGAGGAATTCAATGCAACTTCTGCAGCTGTGTAAAATTTGACAACAAGTGGTGTTCGTTAGGTATGCTCACTGTCCCTACATTGGTTCAGTTTCGTCTGAGATGTACTAGTGGATGTTACCTTAGATGACTTAAGTGATTTTGAGCGCTTTTATTATAAAGTGTCTCCTTCGATAGCCTAAAATGAATCTTGAGTCAACAGGAGTTTTAAGTGGGAAAGAGTCACTTGACTCAGTGACTCGTGATAGGTGTGTCATCCTTAGTAGTCACTCTAAACACTTATAAATGAACAGGCACACTGATAACACCACATGTGACAATTCGTTCCGTTTTGTGTTAGCGTAACATACATTTGACCGTTTTCATAAACAAATTTGAAGTTTTTAAACAGAAATCTCCTCCTGAGGAGTAAATCTGGGTAATTCTACATTTCAATGTTTTTTGGTAGAAGATTTTGCTAAGTTCCAGTGGGCGACTAAATACCATAGAAAAGGTATCTCAAATGAAACCGAACATTATTGGATTCTTAGTCAATGAAATCATTATTGAATTTCAGCGCTAACTGATTCTGTTAAATCAAGACTTTCGGTTTCTTCAGACATATTTACCCTTATTACAACCTAACATTTGGTACATTTCTGTTCAGTGAAACAAACCTATGGGAAATACGTAAAAAACATTTTCAAAAATAAAAAATGAAACTAATTAGAAAGATAAGATAATAATAGCTTTTTTCTAAAAACAGTACTTATGATACAGAATGGAATTCTCAGCATTTTACTACATAACGTATTGCATACAGTTAGTACATCAACAATAGATAAAGTTCTACATAGATTAAGGTTATCTCAGTTAGTTTTGACAGCAACATGTTAGCATGTCGGTAGCACAGTCAAAATTAAAGAGAGTGTTAGAAGGTGTTGTAAAAGTAGGTTTTAAAATACTTACTGGCGTAAACAGAAAGAAGGAAACAACGCTGCACCTAACTGTAAAAAGAGGGTGGAAAGTAAAAGAAAGAAAGAAAAACGTTTTACCTGTAAATGATATGAGTTGAAACGACGAGATCCAGTTGTTCTACTGACTATTTAATAAGTCAAAGGTTTCACGCCTAATGCTTTCTTTATCGCAAAGAACACGAGCTAAGTAGGGTATGGATGAGTTTTTGTACTTACCAGCGCAAGCAAATAGTTTTCTAAAGGGGCTTCTGGTTTTGCCTGATGAGATACAAAAGGAGAGCTGTGAATGAAGAAGGTGGTGTGAGTTGGATAGATAGGATGGATTTAGCCCATTTTTCACATGAGTGCATGTGCCTGTCAACCAGAATATTAACAAGCTGGTTAAGTGGCACCTAGCTTACCCTGCTGACCACCTTTAACATCCTGCGTAATAAGGTATATTCTTTCTTCAGTAGCCCAAGAAAAACTAAGAGGGAACAATAGAGAATAATAGCCAGAATACGGTAAATAACAAATTGTGTGAGTAAGGGTTGGGTTATTCCAGAATGTCTTAACATCTTGATGTAGAAGGTAAGACGAAATATTTTCGTAGAAATCATCAAGATATGAGACGACCAGGAAGAATCAGAAGATAGAGTAACGCCTAGGTATTTAATTTCTGACTTGGTTTCAATTTCAGTGCCAACAATGTTGCACACGTCGTGAGTGCTAACGAGCTTGTTTAGGTCAGGTTTGTGCCTAAAGGTGAAAATGACCGTTTGGCATTTGGGTTTAAGGTGAGACCGTTTTCCTTGGACCATTGGCTGTCTTCTGATAAAAAGCCGTTTAGTTTATAGCAGTCACTTTGACATTTGACAGGCAAACATACAGTTAGGTCATAAGCATATTTGACAAAATTAATTTCACTTGAAGATGGTAAGTCATGTAGAAAGAAAGAAAAGAGAAGTGGGGAAAGTACAGCACCAGCTTCATTGAGCACGGCAAAGAAGGATTTGCCTTTTTGTACACGGTATAGTACATTCTGTTTGAAAAGTAGGTATGCAACCAGTTAGTGACCCAGGACTCAGTTCGTATCATGGAGAGCTTATTTAGCAAGAGACATCTAGGTACAGAGCCGAAAGCAGAAGTGAAGTCAAGAAACGTGCAGCAGACGTATATGGCACCTTTATCTAATGATGAGACGATATTGCTGTGAAAGACGGCGGCAGCGTCTAAAGTACTCCTACACTGTCTGTAGGCAAATTGTTTGGGATCTTCGAAGCTTTAAAGGGAGGGTTAGAGTTTAAGAAGTACTTGTTTTTCCGTAAACACTTATAATACTTGTTTGGATGTATATTATGCTACATTACTTCCGAGACCTATCGAATCTCTACTTCTAGAAATGACTGTTTAATTGATTCAAGAATCCAAACAGGTGGAAGGGGAATAATTCAGCTTCAATCTACTCAATATCTGGTTTAATGATAGTTAATTCGGATAATGTAATGTGGCTTTTTCAGAGGTCTTGAATGTAAAGGTACAAGAAGTTGCCGAGGTTTCCTCCTGTTCTATGATAAATATTCAAATTATGTAGCGTGAAGGATAACACTGTTCCGATAAGAGTAGAATAAAGATAAGCACAGCCGTAAGTGTTTCATAGGAGATGGATGTCAAAAATTTTTCTAGAAATGATAGTTTAATTGCTCATCTGATGTGAATGCCAGCTGTAAGTGTTTAACACCTGAGTGAGAAAACGCCCTTATTATTGACGAGCATAGCGAGGTTATAGTATGTGGAAGTGATATTCTCCCTATGAGCGCCTTTAATGTCTGAAAATCTGTCATTTATGAGGATAGGCTTTCAAATACACTTACGTTTATTAACTGAAGCGAAAATCACCTGCAAGTGAAAAATAACTTAACATTCAATACTCAGAAATTTGAGTAATATTTCCGATCATCTAGGAATATATTCGACTGATATAATGAACAATTTTCATTTCGTTGGTATCCGTTATTACCTCAGTAGCTTCAAGTTTGAAACAAAGGCACATCCTCTAAAGTGAAACTTTTCGGTTTATAAGAGTTAAATTCCAGGAGTCGAAGGGTAATTACCTGCAACACGAATGAAAATTAATGCCCCGTAGTGCAATTTATTTATGACAACATTTTTACAAGAACATAATCAGGGCAATCAGGACGCCAAGTGTTTCACAGAAGATGCATGTAAAACTCATAGTGATAAAACATCCCAGTATACCATAACACAACTGCTCATCCGATAAGAACACAAACTGCGAGTATGTAACATCAAAGTAGAGAAACGTTTAGATAACTGACAAGTATGATGACCTAGTAATATAAGGGTCAGTATTCATATGCCTGACTATGATCTACTAAAATTACTTATGAATGTAGAATAATTTAACATTTAAATACTCGTGCTTTTGAGTGAGACTTCCAGTTGATTAAGCGTAACACCAACATATATGGCACGTGTTATTTATTGTGTGGCTAGCTGTCACTAAACGAGTTTAAAATCAAGGCGCTTACTTCAAAATGATACCAGTTCAGTTCGCTTCAGATTTACCAGAGTTAAATCACACGTATTACTAGGACACATGAAAGTTAACGAATGTTGTATTATGTTTTAAGTGATTCAATACTGCAAAATAACTGATGAAAGAATTTGAACCGATTGTTTGGCTTTACGAAACTGTTTTTCAGAAGAATGCCCTCTGTACCTGACTAACTGAAGCATGGTGCTGCTATTTAGATGCGCTGCCATCTCAGCTTGGAGGAACACACAATACATGTATAACTAAATAACTGAGAAAATTAAGTAATCATTTACATTTTAGGTTTGTGCATACCAAAGGTCGCGTCA